TAAAAATGAGGATTTTTTTAAAAAACTATCTCTATGGATTTCAAGCTTTTTTGGCACCAAAATACAAGTATCAGTTCCACTTTTTCCTGAATATCTTTAAGTCCTCTTGACTTGTGTAACAACTGGAAGCCCTTGATCCTGGAGTTCCTGCAAGATCACAGTCGCCAGGTGGAAGCCTGATAATCCCAGTGCCTTGTGCTCCCCAAGTGTGGAAAGGCTGGAGACAAGGGCTTTGAGACACCTTGGGTTATTGTACCTTTAACAGGGAGCCTCAGCATATAGAAAATAAATGTCAAATGTGTGTCGTGCTTACTCTTCTGAAAGTATGAAAATGTCTTTCATGTATAGCCCCTCATAAAGGCAGATTGGGGGCTCATTTGTTCACTTACTACAATTCTGCAGACATCACTCTGAAGCAGAAGTAAGGTGGCACTCCACAATAGGTGAAGCGGTCTGAGTCTACAGGATCATCACGTTCAGCCAGAACAGCGCATCTCTCCCGAGCCCCAGAGAGCACACATGTCACTCTGCATGTTTCTGCTCTATGTGTGCATGCAGAGGCTTTATGCTTTGCTCTGTAGGAGAGAAACCTTACTTAACTTGGGTCCAAGTGTGTGATACCTCAACCTCATGCCTAAAAGTACCTAGAGCAATTATAAGAGGATTCACAACCCGGTTCATAGGGACCCACTGGTGCCACTGTTCTGGGGCCCCAGTTTCTCCAGGAGTCCTGGCTTCTCGGGGCCATATCAGCCCACCCTACGGGTCAGTGCAGAGGAGTCATGGTATGTGGGTGTGTTGGTTGATCAGGGCTCACGCTGAGCTGGCTGTGCAGAAAGCAGAGGGCACCTGACCGTGGAGTGCAGCTCTTTCTACGGAACCCCACAAGGCAGCTAACTACCAGTGCAGACTCATTACTCACTTTCCTTTGGCACAACCAACCCACAAATCAGGCTTGGTCAGGCAGCACCAGTTCCTCTTTCTAGTTCTCCTTTTTTATCCTCCACGAAGGCACATCAGAGCTCCCTGAGGCCACTGCTGACTCACAGCTCCCCGTCTCTCCATCTCTCCAGGCCCACTTCAGGTCTGGGATCAAAGCTCTTCCAAATGTTTTGGACTTTCCTGTTTTCTATGAGCAGAATGTTCCCCAGCTGTGTCACCCATTCTCAGCATAGCCCTGCACAGCTCCTGACTATGGTTTTTCTAACCTCCAGAATGTCTTCCACCTTTGTCCCATTCTCTCTCATTCCATTTCCTATATCCTGAAATGAGGCAGGACCATGAGCCTCTCATGGACCAGAGCTCTCATTCAGTTCCAGACTCTAACATCCCTGCAGCCCTCCGTCAGCACATCCATGGCTTAGCCACAGGTACGCTCTGTTGGACCAAGGCAGAGAGAGAATACTTTGAATACATACCACACTTGGCGTGTCCAGTTTTTCCTTTTCAACTGGGATACCACATGATGTTTCCTTTTTATGGGATACCATGTGATGTGTCAATATATGTATAATGTTCAAATCAGGGTGAATATCTATCTACTCATTTTCTCTTTATAGTGAAAACATCCATAATCTTTCCTCCTGCTCCTGCTCCTGCTCCTGCTCCCTCTCCCCCTCCCCCCCCTCCTCGTCTACCTTTTCCTCATTCTCCTTTCTCCTTCTTCTTTCTTAGGAACAGGGTAAACTATCATTATCCATTAGTTAGCTCTACTGTGTAACAGAACACTGGGTGCAGTTTTTGTTGGTGCCCAGGTGAGAACATGTGCCCACTTTTTCTATAGCAGACACATATTAGCATATTCAGATAAGCCAAGGTTCAAGTGCTCCACATTTGTTACTTTTTCAATTATTTGTTTTGGTTTCCTGTTTTAGCCTCTGTACCAATACATCAAACATCTGAACAAATGACACTGATAATTTCCAATAGTTACCCAGCCAACTACCTAAATTGAGAAAACAACATTTTACCAACAGGAAACAATGTCTCCCAAGCAAAATGTATCCACAAAACAAATGTTACTGACTCCAACAATGAGGTTAAGTATTGGATACAATGTCACTCAGGGTTTAGAAAATCAGGCTGGCACAAGCCCCTCACATCCCTGGAATGCAATAAAGTCTGGTAAATGGCCACAGATGGCTAATGTTGAGTAATTAACCATGGTTTGAGACCTGGCTGCTCTACTTCTGACCCAGCTCTCTGCTATGGTCTGGGAAAGCAGTGTAAGATGGCCCAAATGCTTGGGCCCCTGAACCCACATGGGAGACCCAGAAGCAGCTCCTGGTTCCTGTCTCCAGATCAGTCCAGGTCTGGCCACTGTAGCTATCTGGGGAGTGAACCAGCAGATGGAACATCTCTCTCTCTCTCTCTCTCTCTCTCTCTCTGCCTCTCTGTAACTCTGCCTTTCAAATAAATAAATAAACCTTAAAAAAAAAAAAAAAAAAGACATCACTTGGCACGCCTGCAACCCACAGTGGAGGATCTGCTTTGGAGTTCTGGCTGTGCTGTGGATCTCAGCTTCCTGCTGATTCCCAGTCTGGGAGGCAGTAGGTGAATAGTTCCAGTACGTAGGTCCCTGCCACCCAAGTGGGAGATCTGCACTGAGTTCTGGGTTCCTGGCTTCAGCCTGACTAGCCTGGGAAGGGAATCAGCAAACGGAAGGTCTTTATACCTCTCTTTCTCCCTCCGTCTCTCTCTCATATAAAATGAAAATAATTTAAAATTTTAAGAGTCAAAAATAAAAAATAATTTTATGACTACTCAGGATTACCTTTATTACATTTATCATGAACCATGATTACTCAGATTTCCTTCATGCATGTATTTTTGATTTTTTTTTTTTGACAGGCAGAGTGGATAGTGAGAGAGAGAGAGAGAGAGAGAGAAAGGTCTTCCTTTTGCTGTTGGTTCACCCTCCAATGGCCGCCACGGCTGGCACACTGTGGTGATCCAAAGGCAGGAGCCAGGTGCTTCTTCTGGTCTCCCATGGGGTGCAGGGTCCAAGCACTTGGACCATCCTCCACTGCCTTCCCAGGCCACAGCAGAGAGCTGGCCTGGAAGAGGGGCAACCGGGACAGAATCTGGCACCCTGACCGGGACTAGAACCCAGTGTGCCGGCGCTGCTAGGTGGAGGATTAGCCTATTGAGCCATGGCACCGGCCCGTATTTTTGATTCTTAAAAGTTTGAATCTATTTGGCTCTGTGTTTCTAAGTCTGAGAAAGGAAATGAATTGACTTTCAAGGATTCTGAATAGCAATTTCTGCTAATTTTACTGGGCAGAATTGTGGGGGGTCCCAATATTAATACAGTAGACTATATTAACTTGCTGCTAAAATTGCTGCTAGACAAATTTCACCTGAAGTCACCCAGAGTGCCACAATTTCATGAGCTGATACAGCAGGTAAATTGATTTCTCTTACTCCTACCTTCTCTACCAGTTTGTTCGGGAGAAAAGAACCACACACCTAAGGACAGCATCTACTGCCAAGACCAGGAAGAAAGAGATTCTGTCACCCTAGCCTAGCTGGTAGACTGCTGTATGCACCAAACCACTTGTGGTAGGGAAGAAAGTTGGGGGGGTTGTAGAACATGCTATGGTTACTGTTAGAAAAGGTAAAAACCAGTCATCTACAGACTCCTGGTTCTTTGCCTCCACACTGCCTCCTTCAGTTCCCAGAATGCCATCCTTCTCTTAGACCTCCAGAAGTCTCATTTCTCTTTCCTATCCACATTACACAGTTTAGGCACATTCAATTTTCTCTTATTCGGATTTTTATAAAGCGAATTAATTCTATTCTTTTTTCTCCTTTCTAGTTTATATAAAAGTATCCTTGTTCCAAAAAAAAATTTAACCCCATGCATAACTTTATAAGATAGAAAGTAAAACACCATCTTATCTCTACCCCAATGCCACCACTTTAAGGTAGCAATTGTCAACAGTTTGGGGACAAGCAGATATGCATGTGCCTGTGTGCAGGGTTAAGTTTTGTATATAAAGCTTGTCTTTTTCACTTGCTATATCTTGATTTTCCCCAAGCCAGTGCACCAAAGCTGCTGACATTTTATTGCATTTCTCCTTTTCCCCACGAGACTGCTTAATCAAAATTTACTATCAAAAGAAATAAAACAGAAAACCTATCAGCCTAATACCAAATGCGTCTTTGGTGGTATCAGTTTGGGTTGTTTTTTGTTTGTTTTTAGAGCTTTCAACTTAAAAATGGTGAAAACAAACAGGTAAACATGCATGCCTTCATGCACTATGCATATAGCTATCCTAGGTGGAAAAATGTGAGCATATGTAAGATATGTATGTCGGAATGAAGTTCATGTTCAAAGGCAAGAAGTGAAGGAAAGCAACTGCGCAGGGTCCTGAGTAGGGAGGGGCACCACGTGGAAATTTCCTGGCGTCAGACACGGGGACAAATAGAACTCCACCTGGTACTGCGTGTGTGGTCAGTGTAAGCGGCACAACCTTTCATGAACGACATTAGGGGCAGAGATTCAGAAACTGTTTTAGATGATGTCTTCCACACAGCTAGTGCTCAAAAAATGCCACTCAATAATCCAGACAGCGGATGGAATGGAATGGGTGATTCAGTATCCACACTGTCAAATACCAGCAAGCCTGGTATTTCCATCTGCCTCCATGTTTTCATACCTATTTGCAGAGACACACAAAGTGTCTTAGAAATACATTACTGTATGCATGCTTAGTAGCTCTAATGCATTACTGAAACACAATCCTTCCTCTCCAGCTCCCCCAGAGTACCTGGCACTGGGCTCAATAACAATGTCCCAGCCATCTCCTAAACAACCCTAAATTTTACTTACAACTTGTGATCAATAAAAGCTGGATAACTACCATGAAAACAGTTGCAAATGTCCTCCACAAAGGGAAAATGTCAAAAGCCAAGCTTCCCAATGACAGGAACCCCCTCCTCTCCTTTTACTTAACAAGGCCATCAATGATGCATACACCTTTAGCTGGCTGGTGCCCATGGCTTGGAGAAGAGACGTTCTGCCAACGCCAGGAACCTACCAAAAACACATCTCCTTTTACCACATGCTGTTGTGGTCACTCACCTATGCTGAAGAATTAGACTGCCGCAAAATCACAGACTTCTGGGAGAACACGTGGCCATTTTACTATGCAATCCTCTTCCTTCTACGCGGGAGCAAACTGGAGCTCAGGCAGATGAGGTATGCCCAAGGACACACAACAGCTCCTACTGAGAACCCGCTGGGGTTAGTACCTCAACTCTCTATGATCCTTTCCTACGGCTATCAGGCAAGGTATTCTATGTTCCAATAGTTCTATACCGTGCTTATTAAATATTCTGAGATGAAAGGCGATGTCTGTGGTTTTTGAATGTGTGTAGGAGGCAAGATGCACCGTGTACCGATCGACCTTGAGAATAATTAATCCACCTGTCTGTCCACGTGGGGAGACTATAAATGGGGGGGGGGGGTTGCGTTTTAATTTTTTTTTTTTAACCTAAACTGACAGAAATCAATCAACAGGACCCAGGGCTAGCAGCCTTCATTACCATGCCCCACAGGGCTGCAGTGACCCAAGCTGAAGTAAAGAAGCACCAGGTGCGGGAATCTCCCGGGACGGCAGCGGGCAGGGAAGTCACCTGAGGAGGCAGACCGAGCCGATGTCCTCCTCCTGCCACACAGGAGGCCACGTTCTCGTCCCTGCGGCTGCTGGGGGCTCGCGTCTCGCCCTTCCTCCCGGGGATGTTTATGGCAAGGGCGTGAGGGAGGCTCGGCCGCGAAGGGCCTGGCCCTTGGGGGGCCCACCCCTCGTCCTCATCCCGGCGAGCAGCTGCCGGCGCCCGGCGAGAGCTCTCTGGGCAGCGCCTTTGTTTTCCCGACTCCAATTACGTTTGCGGAAGTGCTACCAGCGCCCGGGGGCGCCCGCGGCAGCCTCCCCCTTGCACCCCGCAAAGATGACACCCGCTCCCGCAGCCGTGAGAAGGCCGAAGGCGGCTGGCGAACGAGTGAGGCCGGCGGCGGAGACACCCAGCCGCCCTCCCCGGGGACGCCCTCCCCGGGGCCCCCCTCCCCCGGCAGCAGGTGCGCGCCGCCCGCGGGGGCTCCCCGCCCGCGCACGCGGGGCCCGGCCTCCGCTGGGGGCCGGGGCGGGGCTGCCGGGCCGCCCCCTCCTCGCGCGCCAGCCCGCCCGCTCGACTCACCTGCGGCAGCGGCGGCGGCGGCGCTCAGCTGCGCGGGGAGCCGGGAGCCCTCTCCCCCCGGCGCGGGGCGGCGGCTCGCGGCGCCGGGGCGGCGGCTGTCGAAGCGGCGCGCACCATCTCGGGCAGGGTCTCTGGTTCCTGGGGGCTGTGACGGGAGGGGCGCGGCGGAGGGATGCGGGCAGGGCGGGGCGACCGGGAGCCTCGGGCCCCGCACCCGCTGCCGCCACCGTCTCTCCTCCCCCTCCTCCTCCTCCTCCTCCCTGGGCTGGGCCTCCCCGTCGCTGCCGCGCTCACCACCGGCTGGACCCGTTTCTGGGCTGGGCGCCGAGGTCCGGCCGCCAGGTGCAGCGCTCCGCCTCCTGCGGCGGCGGATGCGTCGGCCGCCCCCTCCCGGCCTCGCGCCCGCCCCCGAGCCCCGCGGGACCCCTGGCCTCAGACCCGCTGAGAAGGCGCCGCGGGGCAGTGGGCAGCCGCGGCGGGGCGCACCCCGCGCCGCACACGCGCGCACTCCGGCTCCAGGCCCCCCACCCCACCCCCGGGCAAATGATGCCGGCCGGGCGCAGGGGCGCGCGTTGGCGGCCGCGGGGCTGAGGCTGCTGGCTGGCAGTCATTTAATGAGCGCTTCTTCAGTGCCAGGCCCGGCGCTCGCGCTGGGCGTGCGTCCTCTCGGGTTTCTGGGCGCGGCCCGGTGGACTGACTGTCCTCACACAACCCGGAGGGAGGAACTGGGCCCGGAACCGGAGGCAGACGGCCGGCGACAGGTACGCTGAGGCCGAAGCGCCGGTGGGTAGGAGGGCGCCCTGCCCCGTATGACACTGCGGATGTCATGAAAGTGGTCTTTCTGGTTAAAGGCGCACAGGGTGGCGAGAGTGAGGTGGGTTGTAAACGGTGCTCCTTTCAGTGCCTGTCACGGGCCCTGGGAGGTGCCAGATCCTGTTCTCAAGGAGATTATGGTCTCGTCTGACAACACCCATAGTGGCAGGATGGTAGCTGACCTATGTGAGCATGCGCCGTGTTAAGTGTTGTTGAAGCCTTGTGGTAATCCTCTGGGTATGGATAATGATACTCCCATTTTACAGCTGACAAAATCGAGGCTGCGAGGTAACGTAACCTAGTTGAAGTCAGTAAACAGGAAAAGAGAGAAAAGGCATTTTTTTCTTTCCAGGCTTTACGCTCTTCCCAGTAAAATCATACGGATGAGTTTATAGGCCTTAAAGCTTCAGAATTTGGATTCCCCCTTTTGCAGGAATAAAACAGATAGAAATTTGCTAGGGTCCCTTGCAGAACTTACACGGGTCCTGAAGCTTAAGCTCCATGCGCCTTGGTAAATGCCCTTGCAATACTGACACATAGAAGCAAAAACAGTACCAGGCAATAGTGCTGGGATTTAAGGAGAAGTGATTCCATGGTGGCCGTGGGCTCAGAGGGGGACACACTGCACTCAGGTGTGGCCTGGAGACAGCTGCTTCCTACTGCATTATTTGAGCTGAATGCACTCAAAGTGCTGAGTCCATAGTTGTCAGGATAGACGCGTCTTTCTTCTTTTCTTTCCAGCTATTAAAAAGGAACCATTCTTCTGAAGAAGTAGAAAGGAGCAGACTGCGGATCCAACCTGGTTCAGGTTCTCTCCAGCTTGTGGAAGGACAGGGAGGAGCAGAAAGAACCTGGAGAAAGGCAAGGTTAGTTCTCAACCTGTGAAGGCAGTTCTGCACTGGACAATGAAGCCAAAACGCCCCAGAGGTTAGCTAGTGTTCCTGTCTCATGTAGTTCAGCGCAGCCTCAAGGGTCAGCATAGGACAAAGCATTGTTTTAACGGGCCTTGTTAGGGCAAGATTTTTTCCCAGATAGCCACATCCCCCTTTTTTTTTTTTTTTTTAAGATTTATTTTTATTTATTTGAAAGAGTTACAGAGAGAGGCTTCCACTGGTTCAATCCCCAGATGGCCACACTGGCTGGAGCTGCATTGATCCAAAGTCAGGAGCCAGGAGCTGCTTCTGAGTCATGTGGGTGCAGAGGCCCAAGGACGTGGGCCATCTTTACTGCTTTCCCAGGCCATAGCAGAGAGCTGGATCAGAAGACATGCCAGCACTTCAGGCTGGGCTTTAACCTGCGGCACAACAGTGCCAGCCCCACATGCTCACATATGGTTTCTGACCATATGTACTATGTCATTGCTCCAACTTACATGCATGCTAAATACTATCATAAACTTGTCTTAATTTTTAAAATACAAAAGCAATCAGGGTAACTTAGGAAAAGATACAGATATGCATGACAAAAAAGTGACCTGTAACTCCTCCCCTACCTGCCTACCTTTGTGAGTTAGTCAGTGGGTGTGGTGTGGGAAATTGGCTTTAAGTCAGGCCCCCTCAGAGGTTAATTGCCCAGAAATCCTCAAAGACAAAATTAAGATGTTGAAATCACATGACTTAATGGAGCAATCTTAAAAGCACAGTAATAAGCCAGGGAAAGAGGCTAGGTTAACACATAGGAGAGTGTACAAGCAGGTGGTACATTTTACAAAACATACACAAATTCTCTTTCTCCCTCCCACACTTCCTCCCTTCCTCCCTCTCTACCCTGCTGATGGTATAGTTACAAGGACCAGAGTTGAGATTGAACAGGGGATGTTTGCAGCCAGAGTGCCTGGTGCCAGAGCTAAGACATATAAAGTTACTTTAGAACATTCATGGAAAAATAGGATTAAAGAAAATTTGTTTCAGCGCAAAAAAATTGAAATCCCTCCTTTTCATAACAAATTTCCATGAACTTTTTGAAGCCCTCTAATACTTGCTCTGTGTCAGAAGACGTGATTTGAGGTCAGCAATTAGCCTTAGTAGCTATTGATATTATCTGTATTTCTCACGTGCCAGGGGATTCCAATTCAATCCCATCAAGGTGGCATGTACCAATGCCATCTCACTAGTCCAAGTGCTCAATTTCTGTTCACAATTGATCATAATGATAGACTAAGAGTCAAAGGGATCACATAAACAAGACTAGTGTCTGCAAATACTAACTGATAGAATAAAAAAGGAAGAGAATGATCCAACATGGGAAGCAGGATACACAGCAGACTCATAGAATGGCAGATGTCCTAAACAGCACTCTGGCCTCAGACTCAGCCCTTAAGGCATTCGGATCTGGCTGAAAAGCCCATGAGAGTATTTCAGGCATGGAAAGCCAAAACACTCTGGCAAAAAAAAAAAAAAAAAACTAAAAACCTAAATGAAAGATCTCCACGAGTGAGATCCCAGTGGAAAGAACAGATCTTCAAAGAAGGAGGTACCTTTCTCTGAAGGGAGGAGAGAAGTTCCACTTTAACTATGACCTTGTCCAGATATGATCAGAGTCGGCAAACTCAAAAGGCCTCCATAGCCTTGGAAACTCATGACAAGAGCCCAGGGTGATTACTGATGCCATAAACAAGAGTGTCAATTTGTTAAGTCAACAACAGGAGTCACTGTGCACTTACTCCTCATGTAGGATCTCTGTCCTTAATGTGCTGTACATTGTGATTTAATGCTATAACTAGTACTCAAACAGTATTTTTCCCTTTGTGTTTCTGTGTGGGTGCAAACTGTTGAAATCTTTACTTAATATATGCTAAATTGATCTTCTGTATATAAAGATAATTGAAAATGAATCTTGATGTGAATGGAAGGGGAGAAGGAGCAGGAGAGGGGAGGGTTGTGGGTGGGAGGGAAGTTATTGGGGGGGAAAAAGCCAATGTAGTCCATAAGCTGTACTTTGGAAATTTATATTCATTAAATAAAAATTAAAAAAATATATTATCTGTATTTCTCAGGCAGAGAACAAATATAACCTGTGTAGGTAGGTTTCACCACTGGGTGGGCATTGAAGACTTCCTGAATATTGAGTGTCTCATGTGCCTCATGAATACTTGGTGCACTAGGAATATTTGGTGGGGCAAGCATTTGACACAGCACTGATGATTACCACTTGCCCTGTTGGAGTGCCTGGGTCTCAGTCCCAGCCACACTCAGGATTCCAGTTTCTTGCTGTGCACACCCTGGGAGGCAGCAGATGAAGACTCAAGTACTTGGGTCCCTGCCACCCACATGGGAGACCTGGACTGAGATCCCAGCTCCCAGCTTCAGCCTGGCCTAGCCTCTGCTGTTGGGCAATGATCCAGGGGATGGGAGCTGCCTCTCTCTCTCTTTCTCTCTCTGCCTTTTAATTAAATTCAATAAATAAATACATTTTTGAAAAAAAATTTGGTGCTTACTTGATTCATCTAACCCTTCTTCTCTGTGTCCAGGTCATATATGCACTGCTCATTTTTCTCACAAATTGCTGGCCTCCACTTTAGTTTCACGAACTATTTTCCTTACATCATTTGTTTCTCTTATTCATTTTGGCAAAGCTGTTTTTTCTTAAATAAGGAAACAAACACATTAAAGTGTGTAATAATTCTAACAAAAATATCTAACACATAGTATTAACCATATGCCAGGATGGCTCAAAGCACATTAAAAATATTTATTCACTCTAAAAAAAGGAGGGTGGTGGTGCTGTGGCATAGTGAACTAAGCTTCCTCCTGTGGCACCTGAATCCCATATGGGCCCAGTTCAAGTCCTGGCTGCTTCTCTTCCAATCCAGCTCTCTGCTATGGCCTGGGAAAGCATAGAAGATGGCCCAAGTGTCTGGGCCCCTGCCCCGGCATGGGAGACCAGGAAGAAGCTCCTGGCTTCAGATCAGCTCAGCTCCAGCCAATGTGACCATCTAGCGAGTGAACCAGCAGATGGAAGACCTTTCTCTCTGTCTCTCCCTCTCTCTGTAACTCCGCATCTCAAATAAATAAATAAATAAAATCTTTAAAAAAGAAATTTGTTCACATAGTGCTCACAACAGTCACTTACAAGTAGGTGCTGATATTCTTTCATTTTACAAATGAGAAAACAAACTGGTGTGCATAAAAATGAGACAGTATGGTCAGGATAATACCACAAGTTAAGTATAGAATCTGCATTGGGACCTAGTCTGACTTCTGTGGTCTGACTGTTAACCACTCCTTCTTCTTCTTGCATATTTAAATGCCTACAAAAATGCATGTTCACATCCAGAGGCTTGGAGATTTTATTTTTATGCAAATAGTATCAACCACCTCTTTCACCTCCTCTGACCTCTGTGACCCACAAGCCTTTGGTTTTCCTCTTGACCATTCCCCTTGGTGTGCTTGGGTTTTCATTTTCCTTAGGATTTGTTCCAAGCCTTTTTTTCTATTTTTTTCTCTGAGTGCTCTCACTCCCTTGACTTCCAACTCCCTCCAACTCCCATCTCTCTGGGGCAACTTCTCTCACAAGTGCCAGATCTATACGGCCAATTGTTGAGTGGGCTGTGTCCTAGAAACCCCACCTCAGTACTTCATTATCTTCTGCTCCTCCCTTGCTCACTCTGGCTTTCTAAACTTCCATCCACCCAGTTGTCCAAGCCTTTATGTTCAGTGCCCCCTTTCCCCAGTGTGTTTCCTATTGCTGTCACAACAAGGCTCTAGAAACTTAGTGGACTTTTATCATATTACAATCCTGGAAGTTGGAAGTCAAGAATGGGTTTGTTGGGCTAAACTCAAGGCACCTGCAGGACTGCATTCTTTCTGTAGACTCTGGTGGAGAATGTTTGCTTGACTTTCCTGCTTCTAGAAGCTGCTCTCATTTCTTGGCTCCTGATCCCTTCCTCTGACTGCAGAGTGCACCACTCTCACCTCTGCTTCAGTCTTCACGTCACCCCTTTTACTGTGACCCTCATGACTACGCTGGGCTCAGCAATCTAGGTTCATTTCCTTTTGAGAGCCTTGACATAATCACACCTGTGAAATACCCTTTGTCTTTTTTTTTTTTTTTTAGCTTTATTTATTTATTTGAAAGACAGAGTTACAGAGGCAGAGAGAGACAAAGAGGTCTTCCATCTGCTGGTTTACTCCCCAGATGGCCACAACGGCCAGAGCTGCACCAATCCAAAGTTAGGAGCCAGGAGCCAGGAGCTTCTTCCAGGTCTCCCACACAGATGCAGGGTCTCAAACACTTGGAACATCTTCTGCTGCTTTCCATAGGCCATAGCAGAGAGCTAGATCAGAAGCAGAGCAGTTGGTATACCAGCAGTGCCCATATGGGATTCCGGCACTGCAGGTGGTGGCTTTACCAGCTACACCACAGTGCCATACCCAACTCCCCTTTGTCTTGAAAAGTAGAATATCCATAGGTTCCTGGAATTAGGACGTGGGCATTAATGGAGGGCCATGACTCTACAATACCCATTTTACTGCCAAACTCTCTTAACTCCACCTTTTGAAATATCTCTGGAATCTGCCCTCTTCTCTCCATCTCTGTATTGTCTGAATTTGGGGGATTATCTCTCCTCCTCTGTACATGACAACTATCAGTGTTCTCTCATCCATTGAATTTTCCATTTTACAACCAAAGTAATCTTTCAAAACATCTGACCATAAAATTTCTTCACAGTGCCTCGGGATTGCATAGTACCACATTAGACTCCCCAAGAGTGCTACCTGCAGACCTTGTTCATCTGCTTAAAACTCATCCAAAGAAATCCCACGGTCCAGTAGTCAAATAGTTAGATAATTTTTGTTCTGTGTAACAGCCCATAGGTAGATGCATGGATTCCATCTCTGATCCAGGGTGAATGTTTGGGTGTTAC